GCCCCCCGGGACCAGCCGCGGCGCCCCGCGCCCCCGGCCGCTCTGGCGGAGGGGCAAGTGCGCGCCCACTTGTCACCGGCGCGCCCGCTGCGGAGCGCAGCAGCTTCCCCCCGGGCCCGGGTCAGAAGCAGTCCCAGGCTCCCGGGCTTGCTCCGATCACCCCCGAGGAGGCCACCCCCGGCCGGGGCCCGGCGCCCGGGAGGCGTCTCCGTTGCAGCGCAAGCAGGGCTGGCAGCGGCGCCACCGCCTCTCGGGCAACCGGGAGCAAGTGCGAAGGGAGGCGGCGCGGAGCCAGAGCCAGGCTCCCCGGGGCCCTGCCCTCCGCTTGTCTCGCCCCGGGCCGGGACTTGCACTTGAAAGCCGTGCCCCACCGAGAAGGGGCTTTACTACTTGCTTCCAAGTCCCTGCAGGCAGAGAGAATGGGGCTGGGCTGTTCTCCGCGGGGCAGATGACGGAACAAGAAGCAACGGGCTCAAGCCGCAAAAAGGGGAGTTTAGGTTGGATCTTAGGAAAAACTCTCTCACCAGGAGGGTGGTGAAGCAATGGAACAGGCTACCCGGAGAAAGTGGGATCTCCATCCTTGGAGGTGTGTAAGGCCCATTGGCTGGGAGGATCTAAGCTGGGGATGCTCCTGCTTGGATCAAGGGGCTGCGCTGGATGATCCCCCAAGGTCCCTTCCACCCCTCGTTTTCTATGACTCCAAAGGCTTCAGGCGGCTGCGAGGGGCCACCCAAAGCCTTCCAGTGCCCCCTGCGGCTGCCCGGCTTCCCCTTGCCCCCTCCCTCCTCTGCCAGCTAGGGGAAGGCCCCGGGGGCGCTCAGCTGTGCTTCGGGGCAGCCTTTTCCCCAGGCCGGGGGCAGGCCCGGTGCCCAGCCTGGACGCGGCGCTGTTTCTTTTCCGAAATGCCACCAAGCGCATCCCGAGGCCCGTCGCATCACGCAGGTGCCCGGCGCGTCCCCCGGGGCGCGGAGCTCGAAGCTCCCCCGCCCCCCAGCGCCGGGCACCCCACTCCTTTGTGACGCAGCCCCGCCCCGCCGCGCCTCGCCCAATGGGGGCTGCCGGGCGCGGCCCCGCCCCCGCCGGGGGGCATAAAAGGCGGGAGGGCGTCGTGGTCGCTCGCAGTGGTGG